AAATGACAATCTGAAATAAGTTTTTGTTATCAGTAAAAAAAATTAAAGTTCGAAATTGCTTAAGAGGAAAAGCTTAGAACAAATTTTATCTTCTCACGAGGAAAAAATCCTGTACTTGATTTTCTGTAGGTACAATCAAAATATTTTATTTGCAAACTGTACTCCACTAACCATCTCAACTTTTGTTGTACGATCAATGGGCATAATATATCGTTGGATTTTTCATTCATGTTATTCGATGAAAGAGTTCCTTTTATTTTACATAAATTTTAAAATATCGAAAATAAAAAATTAATGCACCACTTACTCTTTTTCTCTCAACACTGTACGTTCCAACAAATAACGCGTAGGCACTCGTAATGACTCGAGTTCCCATTAGCAACCCAGTCTACTAGCGTTCGTTTGCGAAACGCGAACGTGCTTGATGCAAAAAAGAAAAAAAAATAAAAGCAATGAAAAATAAGTCACAGAGTACATAGCAGGAAAGAATACGTCGATGCACGTGATGCCGAGACGCATATTGTGTGTTTATCTTGGCGTAAGAGCGAGACAGAGTCGTCGCGAAGCAGTGAATTGTGAACCGATCGATTTTTGTTCTCACGTTACTTTATTGTTCAGTATGAACAATAAAACGAAGAAAATAAAGGGCAGTATAGTATGTATGATTTATTTATGTGTCACAGAGTTGTGGCACTTGCGGGGATGGATTTACTTTTGTACCTACGTCCCTTCTTTGGCAATTACATGATTGAAACTGATGAAAAATAGTCTTTCATGCATCTGATGGTGCGATAATGTGTATTGATTTCTTTAAAAGCGATTCTCGAATGCTGTGCAGCTCTGATCTAAAAACGAATGAATTTTTATTTTTACAAACGATCGACTTTACCATTGCACCTGACGGACACGCATCCGGTTTTGTTTGAAGCCACAATGTATCTTTTTTCGATCAGTCATACATACAGAAATAAATCGTCGGACGACGTCGGAAAAAATGAGCAGAGAGCCCTTATCGATTAAATTACGACTTCCGCTAGGGTTGATTACTTCGAAATAAAATTTTTATCGCGACGATGATGAATCATCGCTGCCATACGGATCAGCAGAGATAACGACAAACCTTTTCGATTTATCGTTGAGCGTTGATGAAATTTAATGATCAACGATAAAAATAAATAAATTATGATATGCTGGTGACAATAAATAATATACATAGAAACAGGAAACAATGATGAAAAAAATGGATGCGATCCATGAGAATCAGCCCGTCTTACCGTACTCGGCCGTCACTACTAGCTCGTTCGGCGATTCAAACGAGATACACATAAAAATCAAACAAAACAAATGATGCTCGGTTCGAAACACTTTTCCATCGAAACGAGAATCATGGTGTTGATATTATTATATAATATTATAAATTAATATAATATATTATTTGTCTAGTTAAAAAAAAAAAAAAAAAAAAAAACAAGATAATCGTGTTGATTTCATCGTTTCCCCTTGAAAGATTAGATAAGCAAATCGCACGTGTGTTGTTTTTTCAATCGCGCGGAATAGCTCGAAACGTACCATACGTTCCACTCCCACGTGCTCTCCTACACGTGTAAGTTGGACGGGGAAAACCAGATTATAAGTAGAGTAATGCGATCGCACGGAAGAAACGAAGATAGAGAGAGAGAGAGAGAGAGAGAATAGCTCGAGAGGTGCCTATACACGTATAATAGGTATATATAAGGTGTATGCATAATGAATCGGTGTAAAGTGGAGGCCGAAAGAAAGGAGAGAGGGGACAGCTCGCGGCAATGATCGCGAAAGTGAAGGTAAGATACACCGCGACAACAACAACGTGCCTCGGATAAGGAGGCGTCGTAAGGTCGATGAAGGACGCTTGACCCGAGCACGTGAAAAATATACCTATATTATCGCGCGCGTGGGCTTTTTTCGATGTGCGAGGCGGGGACGAGAGGTTGTAATATATGCTCAATTTTGCGTACCTACAGAGCGAGAACCGAGTTATTAGATACACATTTTTGATACGTCTCTATAGAGTCTCAACACGTGACGTCCGAGGATCTCGGAGTCTTCAATCGGGGCGAAATTAATGCTTTTTTGTTTTCGGCTCGCTTGTACATACGGCAGATCTGATGCGAGTACTTATAATTCGTATATTACTCACCTAGGGAGAAAAAATAAAGATAAAATAAAGCAGACAATTGATGAGCATGCGATCTGAGGGATTCTTTGTTTCCTCCCGTGGGTTGTATACGATTTTTCATCAATCCTGCGCCGAGAGAAGGGATTTTCGTTTCGCGAAGCGGGACGAAAGTTCCTACTTTCGGCGCAGTATGATGAAAATATACTTACCTATACGCATTTGCGACAGCGACGAAAACAACGATACGATCGGCTCGTCATGCCATGTATATATGTATATATACACCGTGTATCTGGACGCTTTCATAAAGTATACGTGTTTTCGTTGAAACATCCGTGCTTCGTACTCTCGATGATGATACATTGTTCGTTCTTCCCCTTGCAGCCAACAGTTTTTTTTATCGCACTGCGAAGACAAATATATAGAGATGAATAAAAAAAGAACAATATCTACAGTAGCAATAACGAGCGCCCAATGAGAGCAGCGAGTGATAATATTAGCTCGCGACGCGTTTACAACAATAACACGAAGCAACACGTGCTGCTGCAGTACAATAGTCGTACGTAAGTATCTATAATACGTTGTAGTGCACACGCTCTTTGCTCGATGTATATACATACGTATATATGCATATTCTTATCGTGTGTATTGTTACAATGTGCACTCGTGGGTACATAATAATATTATGCACGCATATACCATCTGACTTTTTCTCTTCCCTCTTTTTTCATCGCGCAACACGTAGTAGCGTCATATCCCGCGTTTTTCTCGGGTGGCTATTGCAATACATATTTTCTTTCTTTCTTTCTGCATTTTTTTTTTTTTTTTGTCAAGTATACGATGTACTTTCGAGAGGACGGAAAAATAAATTGCCCGCTGCTGTGTAAGCGGGCGTGGGTGTTGGGTTGTGTGTATAGCTGTACGAGCGAGGTCGATTATTTTTCAACCAGAGAAACGACTCGACGATGTTTGGGGTCTGTTTTTTAGTGTGAAAAATGAGAGACCACAAATAAAAGAGAAAATTTTAACTGAATTCTGATCGAGATTGCGTTTTTGTAGCTCAATCGGATTGTAGATAACGTATTTTGGCAGAAAAAGTTAAAATATGGGCAATTAAAACCGATCGATCGACAGTACACAAATAAAAATTACGCGCTTCTTTGGCCAAGCAATTACTTGGTTCTCATCGAAATTGCGTGCGTCAAAGGCACAGCTCTGCGAGAGGATACGACAAGGCACTTTCCACATTGAACCGTATATACGCAAGGGTCGCGCGTCAACGTTAAAGCATAAATATTTATTTACGCGTAGCGGCTCTTTGAAAGCTTTTGCGAATGAAGCATTTTGCATGTGAGTAGAAATTGTACAAATAATGCGACGGATCGCGATAAAAATTAAACGTAAGGGGAATTGTTTTTCTGTTTTATCGTGTGGCTCATGCACACGTGCAATCAAACGTGAGCGCTTTCCACATTCCCTGTGTATACTTACACGTATATACAGTATATACTTACCTTTACTTTAGTTTGGATTTTTTTCTCTTTATTAACCGCTGCCACATCGGCACTGGCGTCGATTTCTCAGATGTGCGCACGTGCGCGACCGACGTCCTCTAATAATGCGCCTCACGGTTATACATTGTTACCTCGATCGCTGCGGAGCTTTTTGCTCCGATTGGAGAGAGTATGCGACCTCAATGTGGGGGTTCGCTGCGACGATCTCACCCACTCTGTTGTTTAATATTTTTTTTTCACTTTTACTTTAGAGGTTTTTTTTTTTTTTTTTTTTTTGCGGTAAAGTAAATAATGTATGGACACAAGGTACGGAATCGAGGTTTTGTTAATTAAAGTAAACGGTAAAAGTTTAAATAAAAAAAATTACATCGACTCGACGAATTAAATTGAGTGTAGGCGTTTGGTAATCACTTATGCTATCTTATCACAATACTTTTTGGTTAATGGATGTGGGTTTGAAATTATATTCACGCGTTATTTATTTTTTACCAAAGACGTGAATTATTTTTATTTGTAACAACAATAACCACACCGCAGAATTGCAAACGTCCAAATATGGAGGGTTTGGAAAAAAAAAAAAAAAAAGTAATTGCGAAGGAAGTACAATCATACATATTCACTCGATCGTCAAGAAAAATACATCCAAGCGCACGTCACTTTTATAAATATCCTACTAACGGTCGCTGTGACACTCATACATGCATATTCCACTTTTCTATGCAAACGTCACGTTTCCCAGCTCTTTTTTCGGAACAAACCTTTTTTTTTAAACGATTCCTGCCTCGCTTCGCAACTATAGATCGTACGACATATACAAATCGACCTGCACCTATTTTTTTTCTCTTGCTATTTATGTGCCGCGCTCATTCATTTTTCACAACAGCTTGCTCCGTTTCCGCTTTTTTTTTCCCACACATCAGAGCATTATTTTTTTTTCCCCCCCTTAAATAGGGCTTGGGGTTTCCCAAAAGTGGGCGACACTCGTCACAAAAATACAACAGAGTGCGTACAATGAGTTTTCATGCAAATCGAACCATCAGCATGTTAATACGCCTCGGTTGACAACTATTACGAAGGAATGCGCGAAAGAAGAGGAAAAAAAAATGTTGCGCAAAATTGCATTAACAACACAGGTGTTGTGCTGGAAGAAAGAAAAAAAAAAAACTTTCACCGACTCCGCTGCATTTGCATAATAAATTATGCGCGTGCAAATAGTCACACGTGCATTTTCGTATTTATTTTTTTTCTCTTTTTTTTTTTTTTCGTTACACTCCTTTAAATTCAGGATTAAAAATGCAAAACTAATAAATCAATCGAACGTCTGCTTTCAGTCTGGACGGAAGATCCTGCAAGGACGAGATCTACAGGATGGGCCTTGGATCGGGCTACTGCGAGGGGAACCTGAATTTCGCAACCGCTTCCGAGGACGACGAGGTCTACCCGAAAAAGAAAGTCTCGAGGGTGAGTGTATGTGAAATTTCTTCTCGTTTTTTACTTCACACACACACGATACAAACGCTTATCACACCTTACTTTGTATCTCTGTCTTGGCGCATAATACGCGCGCGCGTCATTCATGCGCGTGATTCACGGATCCGTTTCACAATCGAGCTTGCAATGCCAAAATGAGGCTCGTATGCGCTTCATTGCTGTTGTTTTTTTTTTCTCGCGCAATCCTTCGGAGTCCCTCGTTTTATTTGTCGTCCGACGAAACAAAAAAATGTTCTCCTTTTTGGCTTCCGTACGAATTTTCGACGCGGATGAGACAGTAAGGTCCGAATTACTTGCTTGATTTTTATCCAAACGATCGATCAACGCTCGCGTAATTTTGCCTGAAATTCAAATCCAATAATTGAAAGGATGGCCCTTTTTTGTTTTAATGAAAACTTTCTCGCAATTTTTTCATCAGTCTTGCGACCCCAGCATATAATAATAACCCTTAGAATCGCGATTCTCAACGAATTTGTCAACTAAAAACTATCGGGTCCAGAAGAAAAACATATGCTATACCAATCGATACTTTGACGCCCACGGCCGTGTACAAATACACACATGAGCGTACCATCAAGAGATGGAAGTAAACACGTGATGCTCATCCCGCGTGAGGTAACGAGGATGGAATGCCGAGGAGAGGCTCTTTAACGCCGTGGATAACCCTCGGCACCGCAGCAGTTCTCTCTCTCTTTGTCGATGGTTTTCCTGTTTTGACGCGCGTTCGAGTTGCCATGGTGCCGCGCACCGGAGAATTTAGGCCACACGCCGCTGTGAAAAGAGAGTAGGCGGTATAGGTGGAACTCGCGGAGAAACCAAGGCTTTTCCCGCCACGTGCGCGCGTTTGAATTACAAGTACATTGGGTATGCGCGTCCCGCTCCGCGCTGCTGGTGTATATGGCCTCTGATGCAATGGCCAACAATGTTTTACGGCGCGCGCGTACATCGACGATGACTGTCACCTTTATTTTTTTTTTTTTTTTTGCATTTGGGACGAGGCTTTTTTTGTTTTCGGCAAGGAGATGGGAGAAATAATCGAGGCCGTTGTTTTTGGAAAAGTCTCGTTTTCAAAAATAACACGAGCACGTATAAATTGCAAGAAGGTGCAGATAATATACTGTACAGACACGAGTTGATGGTATAATAATGGGTGAAACAGAGCTCGTAAGTCTATTTTTCGTAACTCCCTGCGGTTGTTCTAATAATAAAGGCACCCACGCGGTGCTATAGGCCCGCCAACGTCACGTTAGGATCGATGATGTACATGCATACAACATAATTATCGATCGATGATGCAAAAATGAGGGAGAAGGGAAAAAACCATGTAATCAATGGAAAGATGAGTAACACGAATCGAAATACCACCGTTGTTGTGCGAAAATAATAAAATTCGTCGCGTAACAGGGCCATCATTGTTCGTCGTACCGTATACTTAATCACAAAACCTTGTACCTTTTATAATACTTACATCAAGCCTGTTTTTGTTGTTTATACACGAACCAAAAAATAGATCTCGATTCGATGCCTCCCTTAGACAGGAAGTTCTGTCCGCTCTCCTTGTCTCGCGTACATCTTGGTTTCGTTATAAAAAGGGGTTTACGCTTAACTTACATTAATTTTAAATAAATTCATGAAGGTGTGGTGCTAACAGAGGTTCTAATGAATGCATTGTAAACAAAGTGAAAAATGTTGTTAATGTTACTTGGATGAATAAAAAAACCAAATTTTTTTTCAGAATACGTAAATATTTATTCAAATGATTTACTTAATACCAGCCAAACATCTCGCACAGCAATTCTATATTTTTTTGAAAAAACATATTACACTCATGCACGATAAAGATATCACTGTAGTTGCTTCGAAGAAAAATACTAGCAGCTGCTTTTAAATTTTGAAGATTATAATCACTTATGAGAAGAAGTTCGCAGATCTTTATTATATTTTCTTTGTTAATATTCGCTATCAAATGTAGTTCACATAGCATCTGTAACTCTGGTAAATCAAAAAAGTGAGCCATTTTCAATAACTCGAATGGTTTTTTTTCAACTTTGCACGTACTGGTATAGACGAAACTAATCAATTCTTCAACGGCGCGCGCGTCGTAACCATCCAGTATAATTTCGTTTGTTTTTTTTTCCAGCATATTCGAGTCCAACATTCTTTCAAACACACGACTTTTAGCAGCGAGTACGGCTCTGTGCACATCGAACCGTTCGTTGTTGACGATGATTTTTAAATCGCTGACCTTTTTGGTTTCCAACATTTCCTTCCAATCGCGTACCAAGACACTTGGTTTGAAAGTTGATTTGTAGTACAATGTAAACTTGCTCGTACGTGCAGGGCAACTTAGTTTAGCTTGAAAGACTTGACGGTTGCGCTTGTACTTCAACTCCCGATACTTGGATCCACACTTTATGAATAACTCGAAGCGATTGATTTGAAACGATTCGAACTCCTTGCTGGGCTTCAGGGTAAACTTAATGTCGGTCTTACGTCGACTTTCAGAACTAAAAACTAATTTCAAGTTACACTTCACATTGTTGATGATCGGCGTAAAAGTGTCCTTATGGTCGTAGTCGAAATCAATAGATAAATAATCCGGACGATTGAAGTACTCGTCCATGGTCTTGAATGCCTTGTTGTATCGTAGTAATCTCTCAAAATGTTTCGAAATTACACCAAATACTTGCACGGATCTACTGGGTGTAAGTATGGATTCTTCGTTCAGCTTCTCCAGAGGCACTCAACAACGCAGTGGAATACAAGTAAACGATGTTTCCAAATGGTATTCAGTGCTGGAATGAACACTACCATTAGTCGGTGAACTTTTAATCACTGTTCCCTGTTGCGCTGCAGGGGTGAGTTTTATACACAAACCTTTCAACTGTTGTGACTCGATGACTATTGAAAACTCTCTAGTTAATGACTTGATAATCACAGAATAATGAATGATTCAAGTCTAAGAACTGTGTGTCACAAATGACCAAGTTAGGAAAGATCGAGACTTTGATAATCGTACGCATAATCGGTACGTAATTCGAGCTACGTGAATTTCACATGTACTTATCTGAAAGTACCCCTTAGCAAATCGATGACTCGTGCCTCACTGGAAGTTATCTCTCTTTTCATCACTACCCTTCGTGTCGCTCGAAAACCCGTTTAATTACTCGTACAAACTTCTCACAATTGTTGGTATAAAACAAGAAGTATAATGAAGAAGGTACTAAATACATTTTGATGAAATAATTTTTACTGGGTAATTAGTCATCGCACCATAGACTTGGTGGTCTTTAAAATCATTAATACAACTGCAATACATTACATAAAAAAAAAGAAATTTCAACAGTACACTGTAAGTGTCAAACACTTGGAGTAACAACTATTTTTCTCTAGGAATTGCTTTCCAAACCTATTGCGTCGATAAACAAATGGTGATTCAATCAAAAGTTGGCCAACGATAATGAGAACATTAGGTTTGTTGGCGCTGATTCTTACTTATGTATACTCGTGTCTAACACCACGTGTTATTAATTTAACTTAATGGTTTCTCGATAGAGCCTCAACTTTCCCTGCCGTTGTCAATTATAACGGAACACAAAGGGAAAACAAGCAGCCGCATCGTCGTCGCTATCGTTTTGTCACGGAACGCCACTTTTCCACTTAGTCTTGTATCGCTTTTTTTGTTGTTATTGTATACATACATACACGCGTAATTAAAGAAAAAATGTAAACTTGTTAGTACATCAACTAATTTTTTCTGATGTATCCACGACTTTCCTACGTAATACGCGTACGCTCGACCGAGTCTTACATAAAAAAAAAGCCTCACGTTCCACCGAATGTGATTGTTGGAGTTACGGTGCGTCCGAACTCTCCTTTTCCAACGAGTATCTTTCGCGCGCCGTGGACGTAATCGAATCGAAATAGGAATGGCTAAGTGCTTTTATCTTCAAATCGTTACGAGTACATACAATGTCCAAAAAGTGGCATCACCTCTAGAAATTTTTCGTCTCAAATAGATGCGCGTTTTGACCAATATGATTCTGGTAATTAATAATTTCTAATTCGACGAACAGTTGTGTGCGCGTTGCATCGAAGATTAAATTATCAGGGAATCGTTTAAGTTATATTAAATGTCCGTTAAATTTACTTGGACGCGTTCACTGTGGGGATGCGTTGACTTTGGTCATACTAATGAAACGGATAAAACGCAACCTATATGTTATACGAGCATATCCAAGTTGAAAAAACAAAATTAAGCGAAACTGCTGAAAATATCTTGTTTTGAGTACGCCCATTGATCGGGACGGCCTTGAACTAAATAGACTATATAACGAGTCGCCTCTGTAAATGGGTTATAGAAAAGTTGCGTATCGAGAGAAATTTTGTTGTTGTTTTGCTTCCTCGTGCGGATGGAGAGAGTTTCGAATGGATGGCTTAAAAAAAAAAAAAAAATATCTCTCCAAATCACATGTTGTATAGAAATACATTTTATGTGGTAATAGGTAGACGCTAGAGTGTCGAAATGTGGTCTTTTGTGCGAGCGCGTACGTGAGTTTCTCTCACACAAAGAACTCTATCAACAAATCGCGTTGTATTTATCGTGGAAACTGCTTCGGAAACCAGCTGCAACCAGCTCCCTTTTTCCTTACCTCCAAAACCCCTTTCGGATCTTGTACAAGTGAAAAAAAAAAAAGAAAAAAAAAAACGCTCAAGTTATCCATGGTTATGCCCATACAAACATTACACGTGTACGTAAGAGCTGTGGTCGTGGGTGCCGATTTCGAAGGTTGCGACCCAGTGAATTTCGATACTTCATTGTTCTCTCGCGCACCGCTTGCGGCATTGAAAAACAACACTCGTCGATCTTTACTTTGCCCTTCCTTTTGTTTCTCTCAATACAATAAGTTATTGTACCTCGTAACAGCCAGTGAACCAACTGCTATCAACACATCTCTCGAGTAATATCTCCATTT